CATTACATTAGTAGGTGGTTGTCAACTTGAAGGGACACGATCGAGGGGCACTTGAGACTCTTTTTTAGAGAATATGCAATGCAGCCGAAATGGTATATATGAGAGTAGGGCATGCGAGTGACTCGCTTGCCAATGAGTATCTCATTTTTACATATACCACAAACTACTCGTTCCTCCTTCCCCTTATCATCGTCGCCCTCGCCGTCGCCATCAATATTATTATTTTGTTTCTAATGGCTCCTGAAAGTACTCTCTCATAGCTTGTTCCAACAATGAGGATTCCAACTCTCTTTCATACTTGCTGTCTAATAACGCTTTCTCAGTGGGCACCGTATCCCTCACTCTCCTTCCTATCCGCCTCTCCGCCGAAGAAAAGTCCAAATACGGATCCTCCGAATCCTTCCACGCCATGTCAGAAACAAATTCATGAAGTTCTAACACACGTTCTTCCTTCTCCTTTGCCCGGTCCATTGCTTCAATTTTGTGGCGTGGTAAAATAACTCCTGTCAATGAGGATTGAAAAGCACAATAACAACTTTCGACCTGCTGCAGATTCAGATTCAGATTCGGAAGAATATCTACTGGCCGTGGAACGAACCTCATCCAAAAGATGATTGATTAGATCGTCGACGTTCTCCAACTCAACAGACTCCCCTCCGGCGTGTTGGAGTCAAAATATTGCATCTTCTGTAAGGGAAGGTTCATCCGCCCGATGGTTGTGGAGATGAGGCGATAGGTTATGGAGTGATATGGATATCTTGAGCAGATCTCTCCGATAGGCTCTCTGGTCCTGTTTTTAAGGGATCTATCTGATGAATCATAAGTCTGAACCACAGAGAAATCGAAACTGAGAGTGATAGAAGCCGGAAGGGACTGATCGCTGACATAAGCACCCACGCTAAAACAACTACCATACAGCTTTGTTCTTGTTGCCGTCGCCATGGCCATAGCAGAGGAGAGAGATACCTAGGGCTTGGGTTAGGGCAGAAAGAATTGAATTGGATTTACGTTACGGAGTAGTTTATTTTCCTTGTACGTATTTTCCTAATCCTGGTGCCTGAATCCCTTCTTTGTTTTTTTTTTTTTTTTCGGAAGGAAAGTAATATATTATAAACTGAGTGTACAGGGAAAGCCCAAATACAGAGGCCCAAAACAAGCCATACAAACAATTGAAAAAGACAATAATATTCTAGAAGCCCTAGAATAGGCTTGTCTGAAATAACATGACATCCGGTGTGGTGAGTGCGATGAGGCAGAGCCTCCAATGTTCAGTCTGAATCCTTTTGGCGGAGGAGTGAAATGTTTATAGCTCTCATGTAGCCCATTGCATCAAATACCTAATCCTAATTTAAACTGTTCAAATTAACACATTCCAAACCCACCCCCTTATATATTTTATCCATTTGTAACCATAGAGTCACTTAATGTGTCAGTTCTATGGCGATATAATATAAATTTTTTAGTCGTGCCTGTTTTATTCTTTTTCAAACTTCATGAGTGTCCAAATTACAATCGAGCTATTAGAGCATCTCCAATGCTAAAATCTATTTTCGCATGCCAAATTTATATTTTGACAGGTGCTAGAATGCCAAAATACTATATTTTAGCAATTCTGCTCCAAAGGTACATTTCACGGAAAATGCTATTTTTTAATATAACTACTATTATTTTTCAATTACCATTCCCACCATTCATATTTGCATTCGTAATATTAATATTAGGCACATTCCAAGTGACATTAGAAGAAAACTAAAATTAAACCTAATTAAAAAGAAGTACAAATCTAAAATATCTGGTCAAAAAAGGACAAAAAAACAAAATTTTTATAATTTTTTTACCACTATTTGGGAATTAATTTTTTTATATAATTTTTTTTTTCTAAAATTTATATATATTATATATAATATACATATAGAAATGTGAGTGGGTGATGACTGGTGAGAAACGGTACCGTTTTGGAAAATGAAAGACTTGCCAAAAAAAATTTGGTAACTGCCATATATGAGAAGAAATTTAAAAATCTCAAATTTTAAGAGCTCAAATGAGAGCCCATTAGAGAGGCCTTTTTTTACTCAACTCTCATATTTTGAGTTTAAGAGGCCCAAATGAGAAAGCGTTGGAGTTGCAGTTGCTCTTAATTTTGTTATTTTATTGGGTATAGACTTAAACAAGAGGTATCCTTCAATGTCGCTAAATGACTCAAGTTTTGCATTATGTTGTCTCGTAGGAATATGAGATGTTGCATACATTGTCAATCTTTAGTGTTCTCGGTCACTTTAGCATAACTTCATGAAAGCCACCTTACCCTCACTGGACCACAAGCACCGATGATAATAATAATAATAATAATCATGACAATTTTATGGAAAAGGGAGAATTACAATGTATAGAACAATCCTACTAGAGCCTTGGTGATCTTCTCCGCTATATGTAGCAGGGAGCTCCATGATCTTCTCCGCTATATGTACCAGGGGTGGAGCTCCCTGTGGGCTTACTTAGGCTATAATTCGGGTCAAAAAAATAATAATAATAATAATTAGTATTATTATTTTCATTAGTCATAGTCCAGTCCAGTTCAGTCCAGCCCAAGCTACTCAATCCATAATAAAAACATAAATGATAAATAGGTCAACTCAGAAAACAAGCCTACAAATAAATTAGAATTAGAAGATTGAAGAAGACTTCGGGATGTTTGGCATGATATGGTATTATTTTTGGTGTTTTCATCTTCTCTGTTTGAAAATTTTTTTTTTCTCACTAAATTTTTTGCTTGAATTTTTTCTTTAGCCCCCCTTATTTTTAAATCCTGGCTCCGTCCCTAATATATACTATAGTTGAGACAAAAAAAACAAAAAAATTCTAACAGAAAATTTGCATCCTATAACCTGTTCATTTTCTTGATTGGTGATGATAATTATCTACACATATAATTTTAAAGAAAAATTGTTGGGATGAGATATGGTCCACTAGATGGCTACAGGAAGTGTCTTTGTCAATTTTTTTTAACTTAAGGAAATATCATTGTACAAAAAAAGTCAGTTTGTATATGATTGTCAATATTATAAATTTTAAGAGTGCCACCATTGTACTTTACTTTTAAAAAAAAAAATTTTTTGTCTTTCTAATCCATTATGTTCATTGATGTACAACTCATTGTCTCATTATCTACTCTATTATTTTAATATTTTTGAATATTTTGAATGAGGTCAAAAATCAAAGTGAGATAGTGAAATAGTGAGGGACCACACAAAAGTAACAAAATCAACTTTTATCACTCTATTTGGTTCTCTAACTGAGGAGAATGTGTTGGACACCCCCTCGTCTTTTTTCTTTATTTCTTATAATAATTTTAATTTTAACAACATTTTTGTTATTACAATAGTTAAAAAGTTGATGATACTATGTTTTTTTCTTTTTACAAAATTTATCTCAAATTTGTTCAGAATTATTTTTCTTAAAAAATTATGCATATTGGGGCAATCTGAACTCACCCCGTCTCAGATACGAGGCATTCTGAACTGAAATTGAGACGAAAAAAAATATTTTGTAGACTGATTGAAAAAGGAGCATCAAGTCCTGAACTTGCACCGTTAACATCCCTACTGATGATACTATCGAATTCAATCAAAGGGTGAAGGCAACCAGCCCCATTGATGCTTGGAGGGGCATCTATTCTCATGTAGACAATAAATTAGAATTTTAAAATATACAATAAGCATAAATTTTAATTTCTTAAAAAAATTACAAACAAATCCTTAAAAAAAACAATTCTCCAAATTATTAATATACAATGAATTGAGATTTAAACCAAAAAAAAAAATGAAAAAAGTTGAAAGCAAAAGAGTGATTATAATTCAAAATATGTGTGATTATAATTCAAAATATGTATAACATATTCAAAATTAAAAATAAGATTAAGTGCCAAAAACAAAAACAAAAAAAAAAAAAATTGGGATGGGCTCAAGCCCACCCAGCCCACCTTCGAAAGCAATACTTTGATAGACTCTTTTTTGGACAGAAACTAAAACAGAGCAAGAGATGTTGCGATTGAATATAAACTAGAGCAATGCCTGCGATGATGTTGTAGGAGTAGCAACAAAGATGCGGTGGTGGCAATTTTGACGCCGGCGGCGGTGGTTCGCCTAATGGTGGCAGTGAAGAAGGCGGTGATAGAGAGAGGCGTATATACAGGGAGAGATACATACTAATACCGTATAACATACATTAGTCGATTTATTGTTCAATTTTCTAAAAAGTCCTTGTGCAATATTGAATAACAGGCTTGTTGCATATTTTTTTGCATACAACATAGTGTTTTTTTGCACTTCAACTCTTAAAAATATAATTAAAATTGAATTTGGGTGCTAACATTTTAAACAAGTACAACCCTAATTAAGTTTGAATCCAGAATTTTCAATCCCGACCCTAATTGTAAAAAATAGTTTAAAGTAAAAAAAATTGGATTGGGTTTCCCTATTGGCGATAGGAAAGTGATACACATCTTCAGAGGATGCCGAGCGATGGTGATATTCCTCATGAAGCACGAGCAATTATTCTGCAGAGCTCGTTTTTGAGTGAATCCATAGATCCAAGGAAATTATTCTGCAGAGTTCATTATTTTCTATCCAGAACCATGACCGCTTCATTGAACTGGGAGTTGTCAAATAGTATCTCAGGGTATCCAAGTTCCACCGAGAGCTTTTAGTGTAAGCTTTTTTAGTCCCCCATGTCATCCCCTCTTCGTATTTCATGATACAGCATATTAATTATATGTTTTTAACTCTGAATCAGATATTTCATGCTAACAGTTCCTCAGAAAATTACAGTTGCAATATACCAAGTATAGAATTCCTTTTTTCATGTCACCTAAAATGTGCTATATTTGGTTTCTTATAATCGATTTTGGTGTGCAACTGTTTAGCCTGCAGAAAGAGCAAGTGCATGACTAGGGATTTGAAGATTAATAAGTATTTGTGTGTATCTAATCTTTAGAATATGTGCATTTATTTAGACACAAACTAATCTTCATTATTAGGAAGCATTTTAAAATTTTGATAGAAAATAATAATAGAAATAACAAGTTTAAACAACATCTTGTTGAAATTGATGGCAGAGAAGCTGGTTTGATGTAATGGTAAAATTCACAGGCCTAGGTTAGAATTTGAGAACAGTCATTTTGTACAAATCTACTCTACTTTGTTCTTGGCCCTTCTATTTTGTCAACTGCAAAGTTTAACACTGCTGCTACTTTTAACCAAGGAGGAAAAAACTGTCCTCCAAATTTTTATTTTTTATTTTTTTATGTTTAGCATTTTGTTTAGCATATTATATTAGAAAAGCGTTTTTACTTTCTGACATGGAAAAAAAAAAAAAAAATTGATTTGAAAACAATCATGGGCCATTCTTGTTAATAGCATATGAATAGGGACTTTTCATGTACTTTCATTTGCCCTCTTTTAAAATTGAAAATAGTTTTTTGACAAGGCACTAATTTGTCCCGTCTTTTCTCCATTATTCTCAACAACCAAGTAGGAACATTTCTTGCCGTGTTCAGACCAATTCCAGTACATCAAGTATTGACATCATTTCAAAAAAAAAAAAAATTAGTGACAATGTTGACTTTACATCTTCTAATTCTCAGTTGTCCCTTTCCACCTAATATTTGCCTCCAAAAAATTTTCAACACCTTTGAAGGGACGAAGCTTACATAAAGTAAACTATTCTTTTGCTGAGTTCAACTGCAACTATTATATATGCACATGGAGATGGTCAACAAAAAAGATGAGCTTTTATAATGTACATGTCCAACCAATCCATTCCAACTTGTTCCAGGAAATTTCATTTCACAAAGTCACTAAGCATCTTCTTAGGCTTTTCCTTCAAACTTCCAAATACATCCCCCACCACCATCAATTTAATTCCTCAAATCTCAACCAATCTTTTCTTAAACATACAGAAAGTGGTGCTTTCCATTGAACTAAAATGGAATTTTTGCCCTTCTTGTCTGTTTTTTCTCTCTTTCTGGTCACTCACTCTTCTTTGATCCATGCTCAGCAACCATATGCCAGGAAGGCCACCACAGCTTGTAGCAGAGCAGATAATTCAACCTCGGTTCTTGGGTACACCTGCAACGGCGTAAACCCGACATGCCAAGCTTACCTCACCTTCAGATCTCAACCCCCATATAACACTGTCTCTTCCATCTCTGATCTTTTGGATGCTGACCCATCACAGCTCTCTCAGCTTAATTCAGTCCCTGACAACACAACTTTTGAAACTGATAAAATGGTGCTTGTTCCTGTGAACTGCTCTTGCTCAGGTGAGTACTATCAATCAAATGCATCCTATGTTGTTGATCACGGAAATAGTGATTTTTTGATTGCAAACAACACCTTCCAGGGCCTCTCTACCTGTCAAGCTCTGGCGGCTCAAAACAGAAATAATGTAACTAGAAATTTATATTCTGGTACAATAATTAGTGTTCCTCTTAGGTGTGCTTGTCCCACAAAGAACCAAACTGATATGGGTGTAAGGTATCTATTGAGTTATCTTATCACTTGGAGTCAAACTGTCTCTGTTATAAGTGCAATGTTTGGGGTGGATACTGGGAGGACTCTAGAAGCCAATGGCCTATCTGAACAGGACTTTACCATTTATCCATTTACTACCCTTTTAGTTCCTCTCCAAAATCCACCATCAAGTTCTCAGACCGGAGCACCACCACCACCACCACCATCGCCTCCACCACCACCACCAACTCTCCCTTCATCGAATAACAAATCGAATAAAACCTGGGTATATGTTGTTGCTGGAGTTCTTGGAGGGGCTGCTACTATTTTGGCCACTGGGAGCATTGTTTTCTGCATCTTCTTTGGTAAAAATAAGAAAAAAACTGATCCAGTTATCATCTCGGAGAGTTTTAAGGCACGTGATAAACCAAATGAAAAGAAGTTGGAGGAAGAATCCAAGTATTTCTTGGATAGCATTTCTAGCATAGCTCAATCCCTTAAAGTGTATACTTTTGAAGAACTTCAATCTGCAACAGACAATTTCAGCGACAGTAGTTGGATTGAGGGATCTGTTTATCGTGGTACAATCAATGGGGATTTAGCTGCCATTAAGAAGATGGATGGAGATGTATCAAAGGAAATAAATTTACTAAACAAGATCAATCATTTTAATCTTATCCGCCTCTCAGGTGTTTGTTTCAATGATGGGCACTGGTATCTTGTTTATGAATATGCTATGAATGGACCTTTGAGTGACTGGATCTATCACAACAGTGGTGATCAAAGATTTTTGAATTGGACACAAAGAATACAGATTGCACTGGATGTGGCCACAGGGCTTAATTATCTGCATAGCTACACCTCCCCTCCCTGTGTCCACAAGGATGTAAAGAGCAGCAATGTTCTTCTTGACAGCGATTTGAGGGCTAGGATCGCTAACTTCGGTCTAGCAAGGTCAACAGATGTGGAGGGTCAATTTGTCTTGACAAGGCACATTATTGGGACAAAAGGTTACATGGCTCCGGAGTATTTGGAGAATGGTTTCATCTCCCCAAAGCTTGATGTTTACGCATTTGGGGTTCTCATGCTTGAAATACTTACTGGGAAAGAAGTTGCTGTTTTGTATGAAGGGGTAGTTGTGCGCTTACCAGAGATCTTAACTACTGTGCTTCATGAGGAAGATGGAAAGGAGAATTTGAGTAACTTCATGGATCCATCTTTGCAGGGAAATTATCCTGCAGAGCTTGCAATTTTCATAGCCAGACTGGTTGATGGTTGCATAAAGAAAGATCCATCAGCACGCCCAGGCATGGATGAGATTGTGCAGTCTCTATCCAGAACCTTGACCACTTCATTGAATTGGGAGTTGTCAAATAGTATCTCAGGGTATCCAAGTCTCGCCTAGAGCTTTTAGTGTAAGCTTTTTTAGTCCCCCATGTCATCCTCCTCTCCTCTTTTCATGATTTATTACCTGTATTTGACTCTTACAAATATATTTCCTGTTAACAGTTCTTCAGAAAATAACAGTTGAAATATACCAAGTACAGAATTCCTTCTTTCATCTCTTGTACTATAGTTGGTCTCTTATGATCTTTTTATCTAGTTGACTTTTTGTGTCCATAATTGCTTAGCCAGTGGAAAGAGTACATGCATGACTGGGGTTTTAAGACTAATAAAAATGTAGAAGTTATAAGTGTTTGTATGTACCTAATTTTAGGAATATATGCAATTTATTTACATAGTAATTAATCTTAATTAGTAGGAAGAGTTTTTAAAATTTGGCAAGAATAAAACAGTTTAAACCGAATCTTATTGACATTGATGGTAAGGAAGTTGATTGATTATCTGAATAGGTGTGCAACTTCAGAAAGAAACTTGTTGCTATAAAAGGTGCACACATTAGCACTCCCCTTATAATTTGTTGAACTAACAAGACAATATGGTCTGAAGTTCTTGATTTTTCACCCAGTAGCACTGATATAAATTTCTGTTGTTTGGTTCAACAGCTAATGTTAGGAGCGAATATTTGTGGAAATTAAAATTGGGGTTTGAAGATTCCTCTGTTTTAAATTCTAGAAGTTCTTATAAACTTTAGAATGTTGAACTCTTCTAAAGCAACAATTTGGATTTAATGAAGGAGCTTATTTTATTAAGGAATTAGGTATGCCAAATCGGTTGATTTTCGAAGAAAAATAGTTTAATAAGCTCACTTAGTCAACAATGTTGTTTAATAAACACATACATAAGTAAAAGGAAAAATACCTAAAAGACACTGATGTTATTGAGGTAACCAAACTTCTAAACTATGATCACATCTACAAGCTATTAGTACCCTTTTCTAATGTGTAGGTTCTGTAGCATGGTATTAGTGTTAAGACTGGGGAGTGGCATTTTAAGTTTCTATTTGCAAAATTATTCATTTCATATTCAATATTCTACTAATAAGCATGGACAACTAAGGTATGCATGTACCCGTTTAGACATTGATTACTGTTGCTATTTAGAGAATAGAACTAGTATCATCAGAATGCAGGAAAATGTAATCTAGCTATAAATTCAGTTAGCATAGTTTCTTTCAAGAAAATTTACATGAAACATAAACAACAAAAAATCATTTAAATGAAACATAAATAACAAAAAATCAACTTGGACACATTTACATGAAGCATAAACAACAGGAAATGTATATAGTGGGAATAAATCATCGAGCTATGACTGGACTGATGATATGAAAAGTTTCTTCTGTTTCTGGTGCCGACGTCCAAGACTTTTCATACATCTCTGAAGATGAGTGAGTGAGAATGGAGAGGTTGAAAACGATTTCTGCCATTTTTGGTCTTGCTGAAGACTTCTCTGATGTGCAAGCCCCTGCTAGGGTTGCCAAGGTCAGAGCGCCATCAATGGGGTAAAAGTTCTCCAAGTTTGGATCCATCCACCTCCTTAACCTTTCCTCTTTCTTCTCTTCAACTTCTAAGATCCACGCTATTTCCTTCCATAACATCACAATCTCACCATTCTCTTTTATTTCCATGGCTTTCTTTCCTGAAAGCAATTCCAAGAGAATAATACCAAATGAAAAAACATCAACTTTTGATGTTATAGAGCTTGTTGCAGGAACAGCTGTGGATAAATTTGCAATCTTGGCCTTAAACCTCGCGTTGAGAAGTATGTTACTTGTTCTCACATCCCTGTGAACAATGGTCGGTTGAGTATGTTCATGCATGTATTGCAGGCCATTGGCTACATCAAGTGCAACATTTAACCTCTGAGTCCATGTGAGGAATGCGACAGAGCCTGAACAAGATGGAGAAGATGGAGACTTCGGATGCAACCACTTATCCAATGATCCATTTTCAGCATATTCATAAACCAAGTAACAATTCCCATCCTTGTCTGATGAGACCCCCATTAACCTCACCAGATTCGCGTGATTTACTTTTTGTAATATCTTCAATTCTTCTCTGGCTTCTTTCGTCCTCTTGACAGCGAAGACCTGACCATCAATCATGGCCCTGTAAACTGATCCTCCAATCCTGTACCGTTGACTGAGATTCATAGTTGCCTCCATGATCACCTTTATGTCATACATGATGGGTTTGCCTAGATAGCCTGAAACACCAGGAAGTAGCTTATCCTGAATGATCTTAGGCTCAAAATTTTCAACTTTTGAAGCTGGTTTCACTTGTATGAGATCAGCAGTCTCCAATGAAGAACTATTACGATTCAGAGTCTTCTTCTTCCTAGATAAAAGATGAATATAAGCAAGCAAGCTTGCTAAAAGGAAGATTAAAAGAGCTGCACTTGTTGCTAAAATAATGATGAGGATCAACCGATGTTTGGACTTTTTACTCTCAGCATGAGAAGGGGAAGGTTGAGAAAGAATTGGCAACTGTGACACCGGTATCAAAACTGGAAGATACACAGCAGCAGTGAAGTTCCGGTAGTTATTTTCAGTTAAAATATCAGGCACTGATGAGTTAAATGTAGTACTTACAGGCAAGACATCGTCGTGAGGTTGCCATACATAGGTGATGAGATAATTAATGCCCTTCTCCATTTGAGCCTTTGTTGGACACTTACAGAGCAAAGGGAAGACCACTTCTGCATGAACTGTCAAATTGTTCGGAATCAAACCAGGGTTCAAGTCTTCCACTGCAAGATAGTTGGTGAGGTTCTGAAAAGGTTTGATTGAAACATAGTAAAGGCTATCACCTTCCTCAATCTGATAAGTGACGTTGGCGAAATAGTGTGTTCCATTGCAAGTACAGGTGACAGGTACCAGTAAGAGCTGATCCGGGACAAGCTCTGCTTTGTCGGAGACCAGGTTACTTGCACGAGCAATTGTCGAAGGACTGACACCAAACAGATCAGATATATGTCCCAGATCAGAATACTTAGGTCCCCGGGCACGATATGTGACATATGTTCCACAGGAAACAGTCGAGTCTTTGGAGCATGAGAAGTCTGTGTCTGCACTAGCTTGTGATTGAGCAGTGACATGGGAGGCAAAAATGAAAAGAATCAGGAAAAGGAAGGCCTTCGAGGAGAGAAAAAAGTTCGCCATTTTTGTGAGCTCAGATTATTATGCTCTAGGAATTAAGCTATGTCTTATGAGCTAGATAGAAGAAAAAGTTGATAGAAAAGCTGAAGAGCATTGTTGTTGTGATGCTTTCAATCCAAATAAAATATGTATGGTTTGAATAAGTATCTGAGAGGCCTCTGTCTCTAGCTTTGATTTGTATGATTCTCTTGTTTTCTTCTACCTGCAAAGTGCATCATATGATTTTACTTTTTTATATAATTTATATCCACATTGTTTTATGCAATGATTCTAGCATATTTATACCTTCAAGAATATCAAACTGAGACAAAACTAGCATTACTTTCTCATTCTTTGCACTGTAAACTATTTTTCTGAAAAGATCTTCGCTTAGTATCACATTACTTTAATACAAGAACCCAAGTTAAGACGGCAAGTTGTCCGTCCATTCGAATTTTATACACAAAGTTAGCAAGCTGACTAAGTAACTACTAACTAGTAGCTTGATGGCTACATCCAAGGACTATCTGCAGAGTGAGATGACATATATATATATATGTGTGTGTGTGTGTGTGTGTGTGTGTGATTGCTCATATATTGCAGCATTAGATCATGGTGTTTCTTAATGTTGGACTTGGTAGACGGTTCTCATAAAAAAGAATGTGAGATGTGCTGCTACTGATGCCCGTTGGGAATATTCTCTCACATTTTTTAATAATCCTTTGTGTCAATATTAACAGGGACAGAAAATAAAATATTCCCATTTCGGCATCTTTCTACAAGTCCGTAATGAATAGTACAAATAAAAAGTGGGTTAAGTGGCAAAAAATTCCCTTCTACTGTCGATATAGTCCTGTGTGGTATAAAATCTCTCTATATTATCAATTTGGTGCAAATACCTCAGTTCGCATAAAAAGACTATGATACCCTCTTCTCAATGAATTATGTTTATTTTTCTATTAATCAAAGTAGTGAGATACAATAGAATGGGGATCAATTTTTTTTTTTATGAAAAATAAGAGAGCCATATAATAAAAAGTGGGTTAAGTGCAAAAAATTCCCTTCTACTTTCGATATAGTGCAAAAAGATCCCTGTGTGGTATAAAATCCCTCTCTATTATCAATTTGGTGCAAATACCCCAGTTCGCATAAAAAGACTATGATACCCTCTTCTCAATGAATTATGTGTTTTTTTTTCTATTAATCAAAGTAGTGTGATACAATAGAATGGGGATCAATTTTTTTTTTTTTTTTATGAAAAATAAGAGAGCTATATATATATATATTATACTTTGTTTCATCATAGACCCAAAAAAAAAAAAAAAAAAAAAAAAAAAAAGAACACTAAAGAACATATTTGAAAAAGTAAAAGTAAATGATTTTATATGTATAATTGAAAAATTAGAAATTCCTTACCAAAATTTATTAGGAAGAATAAACAAATAATTTGAAAGCATTGTATAAAATATGAAATTATATCTATATAGTATTCATATAATTTCAGTCCTAAAGAAATAAATATTTATATTTAATATAACTAAAAGCAAAATTGTATAGTATTCATATAATATGTGATCTACAAAAATAAATATTTACATCAGCAAAACTATAAAACATTCACATAATCTTTTGAACTAAAGAAATAAATATTTGCTTTTAATAAGATTCATACTAAAAATAAAAAAATAATAGAAAAAAATAAAAAACAAAGTAAAAGAAAACATATTCTTTGACCTTGGTGATAGGAAAAAAGGGCCAATTAAGATTTTTAAATTTACTTTATGTCAATTTTGACCAAAAAATAGTTAGAGGGACTTATTTGCACAATTTTTTTAATTTTATAAGCTGAAATACACCTTTTGAAAAGAGAGAAATACATCGTTGAGGTGAACCCCATCGTGACATCTTCAACTTTTGGAGATATCCAACTCCTACAATGTGAGTGAGGATGGGCCCCACATTATAGGAGTCGGAGCATCTGTGTAAGTTGAACGCCTTATCATTTTAATATTAATAGCTTGATACAACTACAACATACAATCAGGTAATACATAAAAGGAAGAACTAACTTGGTTATTCGAGCATCACAACACTAGTACAAGCATTCAGCCAAACAGTCACAAAATAAAGATAATCACTAGTGACTATCACAACACTAATCAGATATTCCAAACAAACACTTATTTTCTGCAACTTCATAGTGATTATTTCTTTTCATAACCCCTTATCAGTAATCACTTATTGATGATTATGATGAGTTACATCAATGCCAAATCCAACCCCAATTGAAATGAAAGGGGGAATAAAAAGACAATTAAAAACAGGCTTCCTGAATAACTATTCTCAAGTTCTCCTGTTCCGTCTTTCGAATTATATGCTCATCAAGGATTCAACTGTAGACCAACATAATAGAGTTTCTTCTTAACTAAACACTAAATCAAAAGTGTCATATGCATAAAGAAAATGTATATGTTCATTTTTCTTCAAAAACAAAATTCTTCTATATATTAACAAGTATGAAACATAATTATATAATATTTGGTGCCCGTGTGAGAAATGGATTATATCAGCTCTGCATGGAATGGCAGCATTTATTGCTTATTTAGTCTATTGACCTTTTGATTCTTTAAAACTATGGTGATAGGGCAAAGCTATTTTATCTCTGAGGGGGGGAGGAAGACTGAGTAGAGCACCACACAGTTCAGCAAGGAAAGCTGCCGGTTAGCTGAATGTGGTCAAGAGTCCTCTTGAGGCCATATTTGAGCACGGCCTCATTACCTGCTCTGAATCCATCTCCGTAAGCTGTTGAAGTGTCCGATTCTATTTGGTGTTTGAAAAACTCACCAAGTTTCTTTTCGAAGTCAGACCGTTTACCCTTTTTCGAGGATTGGGAACTAGAGGATGGTAAAGAAGAAGAAGAAGAAGAAGAAGATGACGACGAAGAAGTTGAAGCAACATTACTACCAGAGCCAGCGATAATCTCAGAATCTAACCACAAATGAGCTAACACTTGGCAGATACCTTCTTCAACATCTGGACTCAGATTAGGATAACCTGTAAAGCAACACCAATGGTAATTTCCAGTTAAGCATATTAGAGAAGCAAGTGCTATCAAGGAAATTCTGTGTCACGGGTCAGACAAGCACCTTTGAGCCGCAACCATGCATGCATCATCTCGTGAGCCAGGATTGACCCAGTTAATAACCTGAAATTGGAAAAGTTTTTTGATGTGTAAATTAAAATCGAGCATGAATCACAGTTATAGACTGGAGAACTAGATGAAGCATTACCTAGGGAGACCATACAAAATGAGAATAGCTGTCACTTCACACCGACGGATTAGCCTATAAGGCTCTGTAAACATGTCTATGATCCGGTAGCCTGCCCCAATCCTTGGCTTCTTTAAAATCTGTTATTTTTGGTGAAATAAGAATAGAATTAAATTAATAAACACACACTTAGTAAAACCAAGTCATAGTTTAAAGCTAAGACGTCAGTATAAGAAATTCCTACAGTGCTAATGGTTTGTTCTTCCGACAGGCAAAGTCCTCTAGTCTCAGGCAAGTGGTGATGGCCCTGCCCAAAATAACAAAAAAATAGCTCAATATTAAAACTCCACAGAAATATAGATGCACCTTCTTTTGAAGAATGGTAAATTTTAGTGCATTATCCTCACATTTCTTTCTCCTTCCATGGCCTCATTTAGCGCTTGTCTCTCAACCAAGAGTAATGGAACTTGCTGCTCCACTTTCATATTCAAACCTTCATAAAATTCTTGTATTTCAAGGTAAAGTGGTTGGCATTCATGAGTATCCATTATTGAAGAGTCCAGGCACTCCAGACATAGCTTCCGACCATCATCAAGTTGAAGATATCTAGTGTTCTCCGGCTACAGAAATCGGAATGATGCATTAGCAACAATATCAAGAGGAGGGGGGGGTGGAAATTTAGCCATTTCTAAGCACACCAGAATAGGATTTCTAATGTGCAATGTCAATGGCTTTCATTGTCCTCTTCGGATTTTATTTTTCATTTTTACTCAATGGGAAGTATTTTATTTCAACTAACCTCCATTCTTTCACAGCTACAACACCTAGGCGTCCCATCATGCTCGTGTGAAGGGCAGTATTTTTGCATCCAGAAAGGATGTGCCCTATACTCAATAAGACCGGCTGAATTTGTCGGGATCTGTAGAAAATGAAAGAAGAGCGAGATACCCAAAGGCACCATATAGTAAGTGATATACACATAGAAACAAATAAAGCAGGGCATTCCTCGTTCTTCTAAACAGTCTAGTAATATAGTTGAAGAATAAAAATGTATGAAAGAATTGTTGGTTGCTACCCTGACTCCTCAGAAATAACTAGTAAGATTAGTTCAGCAAATCTTTTGAAAAATGAGATTTTATTTGGGATTCAAGGCACATGTGAATATTAATTTACTGCTTAAAAAGAGATTAGCCGGAATAAGAAGTGTTTGTACCCAGTTGTACACACACAACAGCCATGCGTTTTGATGTCAAAATACAGAAGTCAATTGTATACATGATGATACCTAGAGCCCATCCAAAGTGAAATGAACCCTCAAAAATATACAAGACCTGAAGAACTGCAATAGTGGGATAATACCTCCATTGGGTTGTGAGTTCAAAGTTAATCTGAGATGCTTTACATCCAACTTGTAGTGGCCTAGATGTTTCTTTAGTGTTAGTGTGGTTTTTGATCATCAAACAAAGCATAAACCGTTTGGTTCAAAGAAATGGAAAAACATAGGGGAAGCAAGGCCAACATATACCAATCTTTACCGCCGTGCAAGAAGTTATTAAACAAATATTATAATTAATAGAAGACTTCCTTCTTCTTCTTCTTTTTCCTTTGCAAAAGACAAGCATGGAATATTTAGCCAACATACCCTTTTTTGAATAAATAGAAACTAAGAACCGGTAAATCTAGCACATTTACAAGTTCCAATTTTATATTGGACACTTATGATAAAAGTAGCTTTTGCAAAATAAATCCATATTTCAGACTTGACATAGAAACTTACATAGTTACTGCAAACGTCACATCGTGGGTGATGCTGCGCCTTATAGCAGGATTTGTGGTAAGGACGATTCTCAGACATAGAAAACTGTAACAAAAAGGCAAATTAAAAATTTGTAATTGCATATCAGTCAAGTGATGTTAATAAACCACCAACATCAAAGGGGAAACAGCAGAATATATAAATACTTGGCCAGTCAATTCCAAACAAAAACCATACTAGTTTTGAAGTAGAATTGAACCTCATAATCAGAAATGGGTAGATTACAAGAATGGCAACGGAAACATTCAGGATGCCAAACAGCTTCCATGCAACTCAAATATCGTCCATGACCAATTTCAGTGTTACAACCAGCACAGACCCCCCTACACAAAAAATAATCAGGTCAGGTTATCAGGGTGTGTGAAATGCAAAAGGTAAAAATAAATAAATCGCAAGGTGCATTATATTTCAAAATTGCAACTTTGTGCACAAAAGGACGATATGAATATCTTCGACGTTATCTAAAACTATTTTATGCCTCCAACTTTGTTGCATGCTTTGGTGAAATAACACCAAACCGTTCTTAAGTATTCCCTCTCCCTATTACTTAACTCCACATGTTCAATTGTCCAACTATACCACATCAAACGCAAAAATATTATAATTAATTGCTTTAGAAAACATCAATACGTCAAGGCTATTTTATTTTGCATATCCTGGCTAATCTACCAATCATATGCATCATTTTGTTTATAGTTTTCATTCAATTTGTGAAAGACATCCAAACAAGCAACTGCAAATTACACAATTATGCAAGCCCAGCTTATCAACTGCAATAAATAGATGCCTGAGCCTTTCAGATTATGTGCCTTCAAACTTCCTGTTGATGTTGAAGAATTCACTCAAGGATTAAATACAACAGGTTGACACTAAATTCATCTGTTTTTACTCAAATAACTTAGAATTCTATGGTCGTATAACAAGTTTCCCTTACAGCAGTAACATATTGTTTAACATTCAAAATTGCCTCAAATTCCAATTGATTGCCACTTTGAGAGGTCAGAAATTATGTCATATTGTTTCAAACCTAAAAATTCCCTTGTACTCCATTTGATTGCAGAGAGTCATATGCGGGAAGTGTAACTGCCACTCAAACCTTGAGCAGTTCGAAAATCGAAGTCTTCGACTCCTTCCTATCTATTATCAGCAATCGAGTATAGCATTAAGAGATGAATCTACGTGAAAAATGAAGTTTCTGCTTTGGAATTGATTTCAGTGTTATTTGAGACCAAAGTACAATATGAAATTTCAACCTTCATCCAAATTAAAATTTTCTATCTTTTTCACGTTGAAAAGGTGCAATTAGCAGATACCTTGGTGTTGCAAGCATTTTAATGGAAAATAAACGAACAAATGTGATTATGGATTCAACAATGTGAAGGAAAACATAAAGATTTCTAAGTGCTACAGATTCTTTGCTAGTCTATAACCCCTATGGAATATGAAATCATATATGCCTTGAAATGGTTACTGAAGCAGAAATTTCGACTTGGATTTCTTTGGATTGAAAATATTACAACTGAGAGATAGATAGAGATACAGATAGAGAGAGAGAGTTGATAAAAAAATAAAATAATAATAATAATAATTTACCTGTAGCCAGATGGATAGAAGTATGATGGATAAGGAGGAATCAAATTTGGAATAGAATTTCCATAATCATATTTAGGTGGAGATTCCACAGATTCCATGTTCAAACTTTCTTGAAGAGCCTTGGCAAGCTGTTCATCTTCATCCACATGAGGCTCATCTTCATCCACATGAGGTTCATCATCTAAAATCAATAGGATAAACAAAAGTAATTGAGAATCCACGTGAAGATATATATCCGTTCAAATATCAAGCGTCTAATATCATTCTGCCTGTAGTTCAAATCCAATGCATATTCACAGCAGAGAGAAGTGTAAAACACGTCAAGTTAGAAATATCATGTCAAATAAACTTCAATTCAGAAAAGGTCTTTAGAAGGCTCTATATGTCACCAGTGGTTTCGGACATCATCGTAAGCCAAGAACTAACAGCCACAAACATTAGTTTGCACAAATACATCGAGAAACAATTAAATAACACTGAAATACAGGATACTTTTCATCCCAAAACTTCCCAGGTTTTATTGAAAACAGGTTCAGGAGTATATTTGCAGGGCATACATTCTAAACCTAGTAAACCATCTTGCTTCGAAGAGGTTCTCTAATCATTCCTGTTTGTATTACCACTATTACTAGTATGACAACTTACAACAATTGTAGAAGCAATACTGATGTTTTTGCATACCACGCAAAAACCACAAGCTAATTCAAGAATGAAAATAAGAATTTCATTTCGCGCATTAGGTTCAACCAAGACGCCAATAAGACACCGGAACACGTGGTAAGCAATAATAAACAGATACCATGAATCTTGGATTTCTATTTCCTTTTATACTATGGCTAATTACAACAAAATACCTCTGTATTGAGTCATCTTAGAAAGTCCCAAGTATAGTCCCACATCACAATTGGCATGAATGTTCATGGTCACTGCTTAGTGCCTACAGCATATAACTTACCAATTACTTTTTTCCCTTTCTGATCTTCCTCTGAAAGCGAAAGTGCAATCGCATGATCAATATCTTCATCCTCATATTCTGACCATGCATCCTACATTCAAATCCCCCAACAGCATATAATTAGACTCAAAAGCATTTAGAAGAATCGGTAGGACATGATGATATATAAATATCGCCACTCAGAGGACTATTTTTCCTGCCTCATTAATGAAAATTGTGATTTATCCGAGCAGAAAACTACTGTATGAAAATAGACAAGAGAATAATAAGAAATGCATTACTAAACAGCAGCAGGAGTAGTAGTTGTTACCACTGCAGTAGAAGGCCCATCCCAAATTCTTTCATCTTCATATTTCCCATGATATTGCCCTTCTGAGATTTTATGGCTGGAACTGGAACCTTTGAGAAACTTGGTAAACCAACCCATAATGCAAAACTGTTATCTGCTTCTGGGCTGGCAAGCCTGCACACCAAATCATTCATATGTGGGGATAAACGGAAACGCATAATTCAAATGAACAGAAAAAAGCCATACCACACAGGAAACATTGGACTAATTTAAGTAACTCCTTTAATCTTCAAGTTAGATCTAAATTTCATACCGGCACAGATAACATGACAATTGCATTTACACATGCTTACAAACATCAAACCTTGGTGTGTGTGTGTGTGTGTGTGTAAACACACAATTCTAAGACAATCTCAAATTTGTTTATACAAAGGTACAGAAGGAAATTATTGTCGACAGGGTTATGGGAAGGTGAAAAGACATAACATCTAACAATTCAACAGTTACCAGGGAACACTAAAAAAAAAAAAGAAGTAACATAACAAACATTAAAATCGGGACATATACATCAAATTTCATATGAACATGCTGTGTGCAAGAAGATAAGGGAGAGAGAAGTGAAAAGTGAAAAAGGGGAGGAAAGAGGAAGAGAAATTCATACTATAATCAATAGCCACTCAATTCCAGTTAACTGTTGAAGTAGTTCAGAACATCTCATATTCAATCTCCAAAATTCGAAGACCTCAATTCCAATAAAACAGCTCTCAGTTCAATCCAAACATGTGAAAATCATCCTCCTCCTAAAATCTCAAATCTGAATTACCCACTCCACATATAGAATTGGTAAAGCTATTTCGAATGACCAATATCAACAACCATCACAATTCACACCCCAAAACTATAATAACCCTCCCCCAACCCACCAGATAGAAAGAAAAACCACCATGGTTTCACCAACCCATTACTGAAAACAAATTAATTCTTTTGTGTGGTTTGTCAAATTCCAGATTTGATGTGCAGAGAAGTTTTATGAGTGAAGTGAAGAATCAGATATCATCATCATCATGTGTCAGAGACATACCTCAAAACAGTTAAAGAATCTGCAGAGATAGAGGAATCTGATGAAATCCAGATCAGATAAAGTAGCCAATTCACTTGAAAGCATAGTCACCAGCAAGCATTAGATGACACAAAAGGTAATGCTTTTTCCCCACATACCCTTGATTGCTGACAATCAATTGCATACAAGAATAAAGAATGACCAAATCACTATATGATCCTTTCTTTGACAAAATAAAGTCAGATGAACATTTCACTATTTCAGCAAAAGAAAGAGAAAAGAAGGCAAGAAAAAGAACGAAGAAAAGAGTACTTGAAATATACGCAATCACAGGCAAAAGGAGAATAAAAATGACCAAGATTTTTTTTTTTTAATTTTTTTTTTTTTTTGTAATTATTAGAATAAGATGATCTATCTAGTATCTACCTTCCTTGAAGGATAGAAATTGGGGAAATCAAAATAAAGTTGGGTAGGGAATTTCAACACTCTGCTTTTTGGATGTGGGACCTTTGTCCCATTTTCCACCATTAGTCCACAAAATGTCAAAAACCCATAACTGATAAACTGATAACCCTTCCCAACCCATGGACACAGTGTCTATGAGGTGGGTTATATTGGGTCTTCCTTCTATAGTGTTCTATATTCCTCTTCCCAGGTAAGAACTAGATTTTCTTCTCTCCCCCTCTCTCCCTCCCTCTTCTATTACTAATTTTTAAGGTAAAAATGTCCATACCCAAATCCAATAATCAAACTACTGCTTTACGGTTCAGGATATGTGGCAGGCAACTAAAAGCACATTGACCTTCCCCAAAAAAAAAAAAAACTAAAAGCACATTGTCCTCTAAAATTGTGCCAAGTGGAAGAAGAAAGGGTTCTATACAAGTGAAAGAAGAAAGGGTGTTGTTATACATATGGTAAGAACCATACCTATGTCCTACCAAATGGGCATCAACCCATGTGGTAAGAGCTCTAGGTGAGGTTGACCGTTAAGAGGCACATGTTAGTACACTTTTTAAGGCGTGTGTCATTTCAAGGAATACATTATTTGTTAATATGGTGAAACACAGAGAGAGAGAGATTTTTTAAGCAGAATTCCTAAAATTAGTAAAATTAAAACAGAACAGTTGAAATGTAATTTGGTAAGATTGTATAAAGATGACAAATATTATTAACAGATCTAAAAATAATAACATACAGATTTAGCATGATTTATTTAAAAAATTGGGGCTAGAATTACATATTGCAGATATTTTACAAATAAATAAATGACTTATATTCATGCGTTAGGACAACATAATAAGTACAGAATAAATCAAAATGCCTCTGAATTGAATAATATACAGTATTGATCAGCCCCCACCATGCCTATTATACACTTTGGGACAATAGTGTTGTTTAAAATAACTATTTTCATTATTTAGGGTATATCCTATGCGACAAGCTAACATTAAAATGCAAAACAATAAAAACGAGAATTTTCTATACTCTTTTACACAGTTATAATGAGCATTCTAAAATTTATTTTCTTGTAAAATTTTGAGTTCTATTATCAGTACCCAAGAATTTATTGTGCCTTTATGCGGATATGTTCTCGACCAATTTTCATAATTAAGAAACTGTTACTCAAAAATAAAAAATAAAAATTACTCCGTATAATTTTATTTAAATTACAACTCCTACTTAGGTTATGGAGACGTGAATCAGATCCCGTGAGTAGTTAAATTCCTTTCCCTTTGTGATGCATTAAATGTTATATGAAAAGAGCAAGTTTTACTCAATTACCTAAAAAGGAGATTTTGATCCAACACTTCTAAAGCCACATGAATTGATTACACTCTTGAAATCTATGATGAAGAGGAGCTTCATGGCTCACAACTCTTTTAAGTTAATTTTAAAAGGACAACCCACTTGATTCTAGAGAATCAATTAAATAATAATGTACGGTGTACCTCAAACTCTTACAATTATAAAAATGTGATAATATAATTAAAATTAAAATAATTCAATACGCTTGTCTTCTACTACTCCCTAATTATTAGGCCAATAGAAAAAAAAATAAAAACAAATAGTATCAGAGATCAGATGAGGTTGTTACAGTTGCAAGAATACTATTTTATTTATTTTCTTTCTGAAATTTTCCCGGAAAGAAGGGGCAGAAAATTACCTCCACGTTGTACTTTCATTGGCTGGTAATCGGTAGGTAAGTGTCACCCGTGCGATGGAGATTTTTTTTTCCCGGAAAGAAAAAGAAAAAAGAAAATTGGCTTTCCTGGCAGCCGCCGGCCTTGGCTTTTGTTGCTTTCACATAAATTAGTGACGTGGCCCATGGGCCCACGCCTATTGTCTTCGTGCTTCAATCTCTTTCTCTTTTTTTTTTCCTTTTTTTTTTAACTGTATGTTAAATTTTTATAAAATTTAAATCTTAGAATATACACGGGGATGTGGGTAGAGAGCTATTTGAAAAAAACAAAAAACGGACACTTTACTTATTTAATTTAAACATTAAATGAAGAACAATACTTAAGTACCTGTTAATGAGAATTTACAACATATTAATTGAGATGGATCAATAATAAATGAATTTATTCTATTTTAAATATCAAATCATAAATAGTAATCAAATTATTATTTCTGATTTGGTAAGTGAGTATTTACTTATCATTTTTTATTTTGTAATTAAAGATGACATTTCATTTATTATTGGTCTACTTTAATGGTCAGTATGTTGTAAATCCTCACTAGTAAAGAGCTAAATATTGTACTTAAATGAATTGTTACAACTTCTTTTTTTAAAAGTGCTAGAATTAGTTCTTTATGTATAAAATACTTGCATTCTTAAAAATTTATTTCTCATCATTGATGTGGCACACAAATGACATGTATCCATTTTAAATTTTTTTTTTTCTTATATTTTAAATTCAAAATGAATACGTATCATCCTATTACTTATCACATCATAAATGTCTAACAAATAGAAGTTTTTCCGCACCAATGAAGAAGCGAGCATTATTCATTTATGTGTGTGTGTATATATAACATATATATATATATATATATATATATATATATATATATATATAATATTTACTTTGATGTTTGTCCCTCTCATAACTTGAATACTCAACTTTCTATTTTAAAAAATAAAAAATTACCACCATATTTTGTATAATAGAGTATTAGAATATTTAATATAAATTCATATCAAACATATATTCCATTCTCATCTTATATTCATATTATGTCAACGCGACATTGACATGGTCATATAGAGAAAAATAAAAAAAAATTCATGTAACAAAAGTTTTCACTTATCTTGACTGATACCTTTGTTAATTTAGAAATTTCATATCTTCCCAAAAAAAAAAAAACACTTGAATTGATCTATGCCTTTATAAAAATGCATATATATCGCATTAATTATATATACTAAAGAAAGAACATGTATATCTAGAACGTAAATCAATTTTGGAGAAATAAATAGCTCCCTTCAATTGATCAAAATGTTTATGTGTGTAAAAGGTTAAGAGAAATAAATAAGTTTCCACGCTTTGACTATTGTAGTTTGGCATGTTATTTGTTCTGTCGATATGATCTCGATGTTTCGTTTGATGTCTTAAAAATTTACAATTACAGATCGAGGTATTTATATTTAACTATTTATTTATGCATTACAGACATATAAAAATAATAATGTTTTAAAATTTATATTTATTTGTGATTAATATTTAAGTTTACAAGGAATACCTTCATTTATTTATTTCATCAAAGCAAGAACATAGGAGAGGGATACCTTTTGATGCGGCACACTGGCACAATTATGGCTGGAAATTGCTGGCCGTTCACTCCATTGACGAGTCATATCATATATATATATATATATATATTTCACAAAAAGTCATATCATATGAAAGAGTTGGCATTGCCCTATAATTTAAATTGCGTTACACGTAGAGAAACCTATATTAAAATCCTTAATGCTAGTTGGAAATAAGGGTGATCATGGCAGTTTCTTTTCGTTGACCATATTAAGTATTCCAAATTCCCTAATCATATCATCATTACAAAAAAAAAAAATAAGGCTTATCATGGTTAGGTTGAACCCCATGCAGATTGATATGTTTATTCTATTTATTTATTTATTTAAAATTAGTTTTATTCTAAAATTGTGTGTATCTATATGTACACATTCAATTATATTGATTCATATAAAACTAACTATGACAAGTTCTTTCTATCCATAAAGATTTTATTGTACTAAATTATGAATTTTTCTAAATATTTTACTACCTTATTGTCCAAATGAATTTTTTTATTGGCTTAAAATCTTTAATCAAACACCTTTTGAAATTTTTATAGCAAAATCTGATTTTGCACATCTGTGTGTGTGTGTGTGTGTTTGGGGGGCGGTTTTGGGTCACTTTTTTTTTTTTTTTAATTTCGTTGACCTTATATAATTTCATCACCATAATCACTTCTTTTTTAACAAAATAAATGTGAGAAACAGGGAAGTGCCTTCTCCCTCCTCCTCCTTTCCTCCACTTCTCTGAAAGGGAAGGAATTGATAGGTTAGGAGGAACGACCCCATCTTTTCTTTTCCTCTTTCTTATCAAAATTATGACAAGTTTATACAAATCCTTTATGCTTTTCGTCTCCTCACACAATTGAACAAAATAAAGAAAGGAAAATACAATTGATGTTTGGTGCATGCAGTTTTGTATTGAGGGAATTTGATGGAACAACCAATGTGAAGACCAAGTGGGTCCCATCTCTTTCTCCAAACTGCCAATAGTAGTATATAATGAGAGAATTAATTTTGACTAAATTTAAAATAAATCATTTAACCACCAAATACTAGCTTAATTAATATCTCAAATCTTAATTATGACTTGAAGAGTTAGTCATATATGTTGGTAATATTTAATTTAGTTATTTCCTTTTAATTATATATGCACATTATTTATTCAATCACACATTTTCTGATCATCCAATCAAAACTTGCTTTGATGATACTTAAATGAGTGCTCGCTCAAGTGATGCATTTGTTTTGCCTACCATGTTTGTCTTTTCATTGATGTGGTGTGCTCTTGTCCACATCCCCCCATCCCACCCTACACTAAACTCCAGTGTTGTAGCACCTTTTTTTTTTTTGGTTGCACCACCCACCTTTATTAATTAATTCCAAATATATTACTTTTCTCCAATCAAAGCCAAGCAAACTCTATACAAAAACTCCTCATATGCCTAAGTTAGCCAATCATATCAACAATTTCAATAGCTTCATTATGAGAATCAAATATTTCAATTAAAAAAAAAAAATCAATATCTTCTAACATGATGATGTTGATTTTCAACATTTTTAAATGGTTTGAAATTTTTAGTTATATTTGGAAGAACTGAATACGCGATTTTTAATTAATTTTTTTCAATTTTAAGTCCAAAATTCCAATTAGATACTACTAAACGTAACATGAAATTAATTCATTAAATTATTTGATCAATATATTTTTATCTTGGGAGTGGTTGTGACATGTTTGGTTTGGAAAAATCAATTTTACTAGGTGAAAATTAATGATGAAGCATTGTCTTTCCAACAACTTTCAAAACATTAAACAAACCTATCACTTCTCCCAAATTGGAGATCAAATGATGAATGTGCGTCTTCCATTCTGTCATAGCTTACCAAATATAGATTAATTAAGACTCAAAGACCATGCAACTTATCTCATGGCTCTCCATGCTAGAATATCTCTTGCCAATACAACTGCAAAATGTGTTTATACCGTAGAACACTTAAATATTGGTGTCATTGATAAGAGTTCAAGTTTCAGTTTGTGAAATAGCAAATATTAGCAGCATTATCTAGTGGCCGGTTTAGATGGTAAAGCACCCAGCTCTCGTGTTAGAGTTCTCTTTCCTTAGTTTGGCTGATAAAAATTAAAAATAAAATATCAAATATTATAAAATAAGAATAAATACTTTAAAAAAAAATATATATATATATATATATATCACCGGAAAGCTAATGGTAATGGTGAGAGCACCCCCATGATAAAAGTAATCTTACTCTCAAATTCAAATGAGCACAACATTTAGGTTGTATTGCAATAAATAAATAAATAGCCAAAATGAATACAAAGAAGGGCTGAAAAAAATATATTTATATAGGGATGAATGTGCTATATGACCATATAATTCATAACTGTGTGAGTCACACGATTTATCTAAATAAAAAATAAAAAATTCAGGACTTATTAAGTTGAGATTTAATTCAAGTAACATGCACCGATTATGATAAATTATTATATAAAATTGAAATTATTAGTCTCAAGTCAATCACAACACTTAAATAAATTTGTAAAAAAAAAAAACAAAGTGTAAATTTTATTAATTTTTTTTATATAAATATCAAATGATGATTGGCTCCGACCATTTGATAATTTCTCTCCCAACTAGAAGTTACTAAGGATTGCAAGCAATACAAATATAGCCATCTGAAAAGGACTTTTGTCACGCCAAAATAGTTATAGACAATTTCAATTATTAGCTTCTATCAATTGAAAAATGAAAATATTTCAGATCTTTATTCTTTGACTAGATTCCTATTTCAGTAATATGATATTACAATCCCAAAGTTCTGGCCCATGCTCATCTAGACAGATAACAGTCCAACTCATGACAGGCCTGGCCCTTAATAAGGCAGCTCAATTATTTACTAGGCCTGCCTACAGTGTCCAGAAGCGTTTTGACTTGGACTTGAAATTCGTTCAAGTCCATTCTATTTTTAGATCATGGGCTATAAAATCAGGGCCATTGTGAGGCTTCACTGTGGGAGAGGCTATGCAGCACAAAAAGAACAAAAAAGGTGAATTGTAATTTCTTCAAGAGTTTTTAAGGTCTATTGGGTCCTTGATTGGGCTTGGTTGCTTTTTAGGTATGATCCATGTATATTTTTGTGAAAAGATTGCAATCATATTTTAAGATATAGAAGGCCACAAGTCTAGCAAGCAAAATATTTAGATTATAGAAATTATTGTAAATATAAGAATAAATATATTCATACACAAAAAAAAAAAAAAAAAATAACAAAGAGCGACATTTTAGAATGAGAGAGAAATAAACTTCTTTCTTATTCTCGTTCAAGTGTGTACTCAGCGATACAATATGATCCTATATTTATAGCATGAGAAAGAACGTCTTCTTCTGTAACTTGCCAATTTTCACAAGTGGATAGATAGATACCATACTGCTTTTAGAACCTAATTATACAAGTTTTTTTTTTTTGTTTTGCGTGCCATCACACAATTTGCATTACCACTTGCATACAAATTTAGTAATGTAGTTGTGGGCCCCATTATATATATATATATATATATATATATATATATATATATATAACACTCTCTTGGTTAATTTTGCAAGTGTCTTAAATTTCATTATTGCAAATTTAATCAATCATTGTCCATCATGACCAATCAAAATGGATATATGTTGTAAGAAGTAAACAGTTTTGAAAAAATACATGATCTTTGTTTCTTAGTATTGTCATGTAGTCCTCTATCAGAGAATTAAAATTTAATTCGGATTTATTTGGATTCAACCCGAATAGTAATCAAATTATTTGTTTTTTTTTATTATTATTTTAAATATAAGGACACTTGTTTGTTTAGCCTTGCGCCACATACTTGGTGAGTATAAATTTTATATTCACTGGTGAAGTGAAATGTTGTTAGTAAAATATCAAGTTTTTTTTGGTCACTTAAACAACATGTGGATTATATCTATATCTAAAATATGGTATGTAGAGGTCCCACTTCATGGTTGGTTAGTGTTTAACATCATGATTAGGTAAAAGGTAACCTTTACAAAGATTGTTTCGTACTTAATTTCATGTACAAGCAAGCAATTAGGATATCATTAATCATACTAATTAATTGAGCAGCTTTCTAATTTTATATGGTCCACTAGGCAAGTCTTCCCAGGATATATATAAGTATTTTGATTGTCACTAATTAATTGGCTAGTTTTAATTAGTTGACGAGTCTGATAAGATTACTTGGAAGCTATTAGATTCTTTTTCTGTACCAATTAATTATATATTATTCTAAATCACAATCACTTCCATCCTCTAAATTTGATGCTTTTAAAAGATCTTTTAAGGTTTCTTTTGTCGGATCATACACATTTGATAAATTCATTTAATAATGAATTGGAAGCTTTAAATACGTTTGTTCGAACGACCCAAAAAAAAAATCAATCTTAAATTAATTTGTTATTCAGAAAATAACTTTAAATTTAACTTAAAAAATAGAAAACTGTATAAATCAAAAAAAAAAAATTAATTGAGCTTTTAAAAATCAATTCATTATATAAATTTTTTATTTTCAATTCTCAAAAAATAAACCAAACATTATCTCAAATGATGTGAGATGTCACACTAAACATTCATGAGCTAGCATTAAGTGGAAGCATGGTATGAAAATTACAGGCAAACTATCATAGTTTCAAAATTGGTCAAATTTAATTGATAACATTGTTGTGAAAAGATATAAAATCATATTTTAATATATAGGAGGCCACAAGGCTAGCAAACAAAATATTTTAGATTACAGAATCCTTTACTAATAAATTTATGAAAGCTTTACAATCTTTATAGTCTCACAATGTCAAACATATAAACAATATTTTTATATGTACAGTGTGACATTCACATATAGGTGGTGCATACACATATACCCTATATGAAGTGCTGCAAAGAAAAATATATTACCATCCCTATAAATCCAGTGTACGTCTTCACATAATCACAGTCATGCTACATCCACAATTCAGGTAAATCACACACACTTAATTTGAATGCCTCTCTCTAATTCATTAAATTCAAACCACCAAAATTAGTGAGAATCATATACATTTCCAAATTAACTATACATGTAAAATATTCTAAACTAAAGAATTGAAAAACAGTAACTTCTTCATTTCGGACGCCGTAATAGTCATAAGGTGTCACTTCAAAAGCCTAATTTAGGCACTTGGCCTTCTTGTCCACACAACTCTTTAATCACAACAGCTTGGTCAAAATCACTTGATAATATTCCAAAGTAACTATGTACGTAAAATATTCTAAACTAAAGTTGTTGTTCTTTTTTCTTTTTTCAAAAGGTCAAAAACTAAAGAATTGCTTCATGAGGTGGTCTTTCTATTAGTAGACATGAGGTTTCGCTTCAAATGTCCCATCTCAAAACCTCTAGCAACCTGATGGAAAAAAACAAAAACAAAAAAAACAACAACATTAAATCCATAACTATTAGCATGAAATTGGATGTAAATTATTTAAATTTATGATAAGAACTCAAATACTATACTCTGAAACATAAGCCATTTACATTAATCAATTACCATTTTACATAAAATCAACAAAAAGAAAGTAATGTACACATCAACTGTCAGTGTACTGTGGAGTTTCGAATAAAAGTGAACATGCTGATTTATGCTAAATAATAAACTGGACCAAATGATAATCTATGATTTCAACTAATATGAATGAGAGAATCAACGCCTAGGTCTATAACTATATCACGTTCTTCACAGAGCAAATGGTATGTGGAATGACGCAAAACATTTTATACGCGTATCCTACCTCCATTTTAGACGGCTTTGCTTCAATGTAAGACCATACGACCAACTTATTGCAGAACTTCCATTCTTAATATGTTCAAATTTTAACTATTTTGATACTTGAAACACCTAAAAATGTGATGAAGATTGCCCCTATACATTGTTCAATTGATAAAATTACTGACATACTGCACTTCACAGTTACAAAGCCTTTGGTCAATACTTTCTGATAATTCTAGCTACACTGCCACATCTTTGCATCTAAATAAAAATGAATAGGCATTTGTAAACTTCCCCGAAGAACTGTATGCAAGTTCTAGTAAGTATTCGAAATGTTTCTCTGTGTGCACTCGTGTGCGCATGTGTGCATGTGCGAGAAAGAGAGAGAGACTCTGCCTTCAAGTTCATCAATGCATTCTCTTCTCAATTTGAAGGCACCGTAAGTAATCTAAGAAATAATGCAGTTTTGCTTCAACTGAAAAAATCAAATGGCAATGAAAACCATATTAGATTTGACAAAGGATATTAGAGTACTATAATGGTTTTCCGAAGGCATAGCAACCACGAATACGGGATTCTTCAAGAATAAAGATAAGAGCAATTGGTAAAGATAAGCAATTAGTAAGACCATACAACCAACATATTGCATTCCATTCCAAATTTTAACTATTTTGATACTTGAAACACCTAAAAATGTGATGAAGATCACCTCTATACATTGTTCAATTGATAAATTACTGACATACTGCACTGCACAGTTATAAAGCCTCTGGTCACTACTTTCTGATAATTCTAGCTACACTGCGACATCTTTGCATATAAATAAAAATTAATTGGCATTTGTAAACTTCCCCGAAAAACTGTATGCAAGTCCTAGTAAGTATTCAATATGTTTCTCTGTGTGTGTGTGTGTGTGTGTGTGAGAGAGAGAGAGAGAGAGAGAGAGACTCTGACTTCAAGTGCAAATCTCTTCTCAATTTGAAGGCACCGTAAGTAATCTTAAGAGATAAGGCGGTTTTGCTTAAACTAGTTCCCTGAAGTTGTTCATTCTTGAAAAAATCAAATGGCAATGAAAACCAAATTAGATTTGACAAAGGATACCAGAGTACTATAACGGTTTTCAGAAAGCATTGCAACCATAACCAGTTTTTGGTTGGGTGACTAATTAGCATCAATATAAATCCCACACGCCTCTAATAGGGGTTCAGAAGTTGAACATGAGGAGAAGCCAATATAGTAGCACTCAATTCCTACATCCCATAAGCTGTTACAGAGAGCCAGCTGACTTGATTGAACCACATATCCCAAAGGAAATGACAGGATTCCACAAGTAGAGGATTGCATTATGGAAAATCTGACAAATTCTCTTTCTGATATGCATTAAGCAACTCTCCCCATACAGTTAGATAGCTGCAAAGGACATCTTGGAAGGTTCGCAAAGATTTTCTGAGAAAGAAAGAGAGAGAGGGGAAATTCTATGAGCAGTCACATGCCTAAAACGATGTTATTTCACTTAACCAAATTGTCGAATTATTTAGACAATTGGATGGGCCAAGACTAAGGAGGTTATGACTCGAAGTAACATGACACACAGCAGTGGTGTCATTCCCCACTTTTGTTCCAATTCAAATGCTAGAACAACTATCCATGGCAGCATGACCTAGTAACAGCGGAAGCAACATGACAAAAACCAATTCACAGAAGAAAAAAAAAATATACAGATGAGAAAAGGCTACACACATAGGATACCTGAGCAATTATATAGAATCATCTATAGTCTATTGTCTAGGAATGTAAAACACTTCAGCCTCTAGCCATAATCCAGTAATATTAACATACTTTTCCTTGTCACAGATAAAAATAATAATAATAATAAGAGAGTTAGAGAGGACCCATTATGGCTATTAACAAGCAACCTCAAATCCGTTGGCGGTTATCTCATAAGCATGATTTTAAATCATGGTATCACCCTAAGAGTCATGTTGTAACAATCTTATTCCCTCTGTCCAAATATAATCCATCTTTCCTTTTCTTGGTGTCCACTAATTGATGTCCACTTTAAAAAGTCAATTTACCAAGTGTCATAAAATTTTAGAATAGCCTCTTTCCATAAGAAATTAGCTAATCTAACATGTGGTTAGTTTTGAAAATTTATACTCTAGTGCGACCCAATAAATGTTTGTCTACCTTGAAAACCAAATTTCTAAAATGGACTACTTACTTCATGCAGAGGGAGTACAAGTACCAGTAATATCTAGCAGGGATAGGTTATCCAAGCCATACTTTTTGTTCTTGCTAGCAAATCCCTAAAACTAACTACCAATAAAAAAGACCCTGAAAAACTAACCAATATCCCATGTTTCATGTCTCAACTGAATTAGCTATACTTTAATGTTTTTAATGATTTTTCATGACCTTTATTACAAAAATTGTAATTTGTAATAAATGCTAAGCCACTACTAGTTGATTTGACCTTTTTATCATTGATCTGTTCCCTACAAATCAAGACATAGAAGTGGAAACTGATTATGACTGAATAATGCTATGAAACTGTTGATAGTCTATTGAACTTTAATAAAATAAAAAAATAAAAAACTAGCAGGGAAAGAAGTGGAAAATATAGATGAACTAATAGGAGAAAATGAGCATAAAATTCGTTTAATGAATTGAGTTTCCTAGTTGCCAAATGAGAGAATAGGTGGAAAGAGAGAGAGATTAAAAAACAAAAAGTAAATAAAAAAAGAGGGAGGGGAGGGTAGAAGTGTTTTAGGTGACTATATTCAAGTTTTGTGGCAGGCCATAAGGGTAATAACAGTTGTTATAGCACCATAATGGAAGTACCACTCAATAGGGCTATGAATCTCAATCCTATATTTATGTAGTGATACATAATGTCATTACAAAGCTGTATCAGCCAACTTTTAGAACAGAAGTACAAGACGAGCAGCACAGCAAGTAGACAAGCAGCAAGTAATGCCATACCTGAAGTGAACTTGCAAGAGTAAGAAAGGGCAAGCCTTCACAAAGTGCATCTTTGAGCAATGCCAACAAAGTCTCCTTCAAGGATTTCAGCAAAGCTGGATCACTAGTAGCCAATGGGCCTAAATGAGAGCAAGTGACCTTTAATGCGCCCGAATGATTACCAGATCGGACCAGCTTCAGAAATTCAACTTGTAAGCAGTAAAATGGCCAATATTTGGCATTTCTATTCTTTCTCAAACAACATCCACAGTTGAATGTTTTTCTTTTTCAAAACCATGTAGAACAATAATTTGTCTATAACCAATACAACTAAAGGTAAAATTAAAAATATCAACCAGATAACTGGTGTTCCTTTGATAAACTTGTGCTCAGGGTCAAGAAGGTAGTGTTAAAGTATTGCTTGCTGCTTCCACTGAGAATATCAGGAATGAAATCTAGCTTCTCATATCGCCCTCTCCAACGCTTGTGTTTACTATAGTCTTGGTTGCTTGTTGTCTTAGAAGGCTTTAGACTCGGCAGTAGAATTCATTCTGGATGTACTTAAAAAGGACCGTCTATTGGAAGATTTCGTCTAGGAGAGACTTTTTTTTTTTTTTAAATGGATTCAAGAACTGGCGGCTTTATTGACTTGGAGTACCCAAGTGAAGAAGGAACCATAACTGATTGGGAGGGAAAACTCTGTTTAATTCACTCACACTCTGTGGGAAACGATTGTCGTCTCAGTATTTTTGTTTGTCCACAGAAAGAAAAGAAGATGATGTTGGAGATGGAGGGTCCAATAGACCTCCTAGAAGTTTGCAGCGTAGATCTACATTAGCTGGGATAGAAGACGATTTAGTCAATACTCTCATAGTTGGCTATACTCATATCATATGAGGACAACAATAAAAATGATGAATTTGAACCGCTAAGTTCACAAAAAATATTAGCATGGTATGACAAATAAAGGACTGCATGTTCACCTTCTCTTCTTTCTGTTTTTCATTTCTTCTGCATTCTTGTCGCCATTTTGTTTTTGATCTTCTTCTACATACATGGCCTCTTCTTCTTCATGCTTCTTATCTTCTAGTAGCATTTCAACAGGCTTCTTTTTGTGCTTTTGCTCATCTTGAGGATCAATTTTACATTTCGTATCTTCTTTTGGCTCCTATAACCTCACCAGTAAATTTACATATGGAATACATAATGTATCCCTTGCATTCACAACCCTTCTGATTACATTTATCTCCTAACTCCTCATATGATATGCATATAGTCAATCCCCTATGAGAATATTGACTAAATCGTCTTCTATCCCAACTAATACCTATATCAGTAGATCTACATCATAAACTTTTAGGAGGTCTATCGTACCCTCCATCTTCAACATCATCTTCTTTTCTTTCTGTGGACAAACAAAAATACTGAAACGACAATCGTTTCCCACAGAGTACGAGTGAATGAAACAGAGTTTTCCCTCCCAATCAGTTATGGTTCCTTCTTCACTTAGGTACTCCAAGTCAATACAGCCGTCAGTTCCTGAATCCATTTAAAAAAAAAAAAGAGTCTCCTAGACGAAATCCTCCAATAAACAGTCCTTTTTAAGTACAACGCGTTAGAATGAATTCTACTGCAGAGTCTAAGCCTCCTTTTGTATATCCTTGCCAAGAACTTGTTTTCAATGAATACACCTCAACTGTCATAGGGGGTCCAATTAGAGATGCATTGACAATTTCAAATCCTTTGAACCCTTCCTTTGAAGGTTCAAAAGCTAACACCATTTCAGAAATAATTGGATTAACTGTGTCATCGACACAAGTAATCACCTCCCACTGAAGGTTCACAGAACTGCAAATATAGTATAAACCAATTTGGTTACGTGCTTCGCATAGTAGTAAACCTTTGCAACTGCTCCTTACAATTACACGGTGTGGTAAGGAATCCAAAATATCATTCGCCACCCTGTAACTTGCTCGGTCTAACGAAATGAACTTTGGAGTGAAATATCTGGACATATAGTAATATCCAGAAAATTTACTGAAAAAATAAGTCTGTAAAGTTTGCATTGCATTAGTCCCAAATATTGACGCCAATCCTTGCAAACCAATTTAAACTTGAATATAGACTTGGCAGGAAGATGGCAAAACATAATATCTTTGAAGGGATCTTTCTCTCTAACCCAGTCGACTATTGAACTTCCAATTGTCTTCCATCAACCTATAACAGCAAAACAGTGAAATCAAAATCCAAACATTGTTATTGCTCCCCACCACCCCTTTTCTTCTTTCTCCCTCTCTAGATTCCTTACTACATGTATATATATATTTACATGAATTTATTAACATTCATGTATAAACCCAACCCAAAAAAAAAGAATTTTTTTTTTATCCTCAGAAAAATTGAACACTTTCTTTAAATACAAGAATTTAACAAAATATATACTTTCCTTAATCAACTAATTGAAAAAAAAAAAAAAAAAAAAAAAAACCCGAAAAGAAACTTCACAAAATCATATATAAAGAAAACAAATTGGTAATAATTAACAAAAAGAAAAACTAGACACTTTCTTAAAATAAAACTAGACAAATTGAAGAAAATATACACTATCTTTACCCAAAAAGAACCAATAAAACAGTTGATCTTTACATAATCATATCTTTACATACAAATTTAAAGAATTAACAAATTTCTAAATATGAAGAATACCCTTTTCGTACACGAGAGGAGTGTTAGGGCCAAGGGCAGATCCAGGATTTCTCAATCGGGTGGGCTAAATCAAAATATATCAACCAAAATCAACTGTTGCTTAATTCAATTTTAGTTAATTAACAATGTTTCTTTAGACAATTGACTGATAAAGGCATAGAAAATCCTATTTGGGTAAGTAATAAATAAAAATTACCAATTTATTTCTTAACAATTCACCGCTCAGTGCCCTATCTCTTCTTTTGACCAATTTACTAATCCTATTTGAGAATCTACTAGTGGAAACAGAGTGTGAGGTAGTCCATGGCAAGCCCCTTCCAACACTATGGAATTAGCTCAAAAGCATGCTTTTTGTAAGTATTTTAATTTTCAAGAAGTAACTTAGAGCTTTACCCTATATTAAGTACCTTTGCTTGTCAAAGTTCTTGTTATGATTTTTTTTTAGTTCTGAAAAGATTTCCATCTTCAAAAAGCGTGGCATGTTGATAAAATTGTTTCAGATTCAATCTCTGCAGATTTCTAATCCAATTCAGATTCTTTTTCTTCTTTTTTTCATGCCCAGATTCAAATTTTCTTGTAGACATAATTGACCAAAAAAAATAAAGAAATAAAGAAATAAAAAAATATATTTGTTTTGCTGAAATAAAATGTAGATTACGGTGATTACCTCAAAATGCAATGCAAATTTTGTTACTTTATATTGTAAAAAAAAAAAAAAAAAAAAATTATATAAAAAAGATCATAAAAAATTTCACCAAATAGGATTTAGTTTGCAAAACAAGAATTACAGACCTTGATTAGTTGATTTAGAAAAAAAATTAAAAGAAAACCCATACATACACGTTAGCAGTTGCAGAGAGAGAGAGGGGGGCAAGCTTGAGAGTTGAGAGACAGCGGCTGAAGCTTGCGAACGGCGATCCCGAACTGGAACAGCGGGCGAAGGAAACTGAAAGATATGGGTTTTGATTTTTTGAACAATCTGAAATGATATGCCGATATGCGTTTAGATATAGGCAATAGGTATTGAACTTTTGATTCTTGCAGACAGATAGATAAACTGAAATATATGGGTTTTGAACTTCTGATTCTTGTAGATTTTGTAGTTTGCAGTAGCAGAGAGAGAGGGGGGGGGGGGGGGGGGGGGGGGGAAGTTCAGAGTTGAGAACGAGAAAAGAGATGGAGGCGATTCGGGAGGCTGAAATGATTTGCCCTAAAAATATATATATTTTTTTCTGGTGTACCATCTTCCATGGGCCTATAAAGTTTGAGGCCGTAGGCGACCGCCTTTGTCGCCTTGGGTCAGGGCCGGCCCTGGGCTTATTTGGCTTGGGCCTTTATTTTAGTGTGGTGGCTGACTTGATTGGGCTTGATTGGGTGGGCAAATTTTGGGATGGGCTAAAACTATTAATAATTTTTTTTTTTTATCTGGGCTAAAATTAGAATAGTAAATTTTCTTTTTTTTTTGGGTGGGCTCAAGCTCACCAGAGCCCACCTCGCCTTGCAGCCGTTCCACGTCATCCGCTCACCAGAGAGACTCACCGCTGGTTTTGGGTGAAAATTCGCTAGTTTGAGATAATGTTTAATATTTGGTAGGACCATGTATTTAGCCACGTCATTCGCGATATTAGTCACGAATTTCCTTTGGAGATGCTTAGCATTTTCCATATATTCATTAACTGATTCTGATGACAGGTGTCTCTTTGTTCCTTTGATTATTGATCTATCTCAACTAGATTCTGAAGACCACTGCTAAATCTTTATCTTCACTTGAGGTTTTGATATTTTAAATTAAAATATATTTAAAAAATAGAGATAAAATTGTAATTTTGCACATTTTTAATGGTAAAAGTGATGAAAAAGTGATTTGGGATCTGAATAATATTTAGTTTCAAAAAATATCTCCATCTAAATTTGTTCAAAATTTAGAGAGTGTCATTAAAATTAACCTAAAATATTATAGTAAAGACAAAAATAATTTCTCAAAAGACAATGGGTTACCGACCCACGTCCTTTGGGATTCCTATTTTACTAAGACGAGAGATTGTCCAAAAATGGGACCCATGCTCATCTAGATTTTAGACAGAAGGTATTTGTAGTCTAACCCAAATCAGATGGCATGGACCTTAATCATGCAGCCCAATTATTTACCAGGCCTGCCTATAGTATACAGAGGACTTGTCAGTGTGAAGTAATGCCAAAGCCCAAAGGCATTTTGTGAGAAAAGAGACATTGACCCGATGTAACGGGTAGACACTTACTTATTTATTTAAAAATTTAAATTGTTGAGTAGTGTTATATGTCCACTCATTTATACTCAATCACTTTTTTATCTGGATCTGATGTGGGACAAATGACTCTTGCCTTTCCCACCTAAACTCGCAATACCCTCGTTACGATTGGGTCACCCTGCCTACTAGGGTGAGTCATTCCAACCCTTGGCGTGGTATAGAATCAAGGACTAAGTCTGATTCTGATGCCAACTGTAATAGATGAACGCTTATTTACAAAAATTCAAATTATTAAATAGTGCTGCATACACATTTATTTATACTCAACTACTTTTCTAAATAATCTTTATTACACCGGAAGACTTGAACTTGGTTGGAGTGAAATCTCTTCCTATATATTAAGATTAGACGTGGTGGAGGGATCTGATATGATTTATGCTCCCAGAAATTTGAAAATCACACACACACACACACACAAACGTGGTAGCCAACTGGTGACAACCTAAATAAAACAAAAAAACAAAAAGAGAGTAGTTGCAAGTTGGATGGCGAAACAAAAGACCCAGAGGTCCTTTCCATAACTCAAAAAATAAAATAAAAAAAACAAAGAGAGTTTGTTAGATTCATTCTTCTTGCACTCTAATAAAGACCACTACCCACTTTTAATGCACACCATTCATCATCCCTCATTAAAATTTCCCTCTCCCATGCATTTTTTTTTTTTTTCCCTCAACAGGCTGTCACCTCTTTGTTTTTGAGGCAACCTTTCGAATTATAAACCCCTTTGGACCACAACTCTCACGTGGCCATGGCCACACCTTGCCGGCCCTGCCACGTGGACGCCCGACTGCATGTAGAGGACCACATTATATATACAGATAGATGTAGATATAGATATGCAAATCCTACATATGATGTATCATTAGAGCTAGCCCTCCCATTTTGTTGCACAAGTGCAAGGCCTTTCAATTCAATAATTTCGTGTCCTTATCTTCATGCGGTCACCATTTAAAGGCGTCCACAGCCACCCATATTTGCTTTTTAAAGCCTTTTTTTTTTTTTTTTTTTCTTTCTTTCTTTCTTTCTTTCTTTGGTTGTAATTTTAATTGTATTGTATAAATATTAGAGCTATAGAGATAAAATTAAAAAGGAAATTAAGGTGAAAAATGAGAGAGAAAAAAGTTAGATAAAGAAAGAGGGGGAAAATTATCTCGAAAAGTGTGGAGCTAACCATACCATGAGAATGTTGGTCTCTTTAATGTAAAGTGACTAATTGAGAAGGACATGCCTGTTTTTTTCTGATCAACACAGCAGACAACAGCCCACCATTTTAAATTTGGGGCATGTTTGGCTACTCTTTTATTGGTTTGTCTTAGGTCACCATGACCTTTTTCGTTTTAATTAACTATTTTCAGACATTTAAAATTATATCTCCCAACATTTCCCAAAGGAGTCAATACCGCCATTTCCCAAACAATATTTTGCAATGGCAATTTCACCGTCCTCTGTCTCACCCCCATAATCATTACAACAAACTTTCCTATGCCCTTGCAATTTGGTGGGGATATCCCGGCTATTGTACGTAGTACGTGTGTCCTTCTGGACATAAGGAAATAATGACTTGACCTCATCTCACCTTCCTCCAATTTATCATCCACAATGTTTTTTAAAGTTCCAAATTAAACCCTACGGTAATTAAACACGAGAGTATGTTACACTTGTTATCGGACTTAACCCAACGCCTTAAGGCATGAGTTGTGTCAAGAAGTTGATATCCAAAAAAATTTGGAATGCAGATGATTCAGTTAAAAAATGTTTTACCAAGAATGGGTTCGATTAATATTATCCAAACATAAGTATGTTTGATATCTCAAAAGTTTTGAAATGCATAAGTTATTCGAGATGATTCAGATGAACAATGTATTACTAAGAACTAATTTGAATGTAATTCAAATGTAAATATAGTTTTACCCAATCCATATGAAAGCACAATTTCCCGACCACTCGGTCATCCAAAAAAAAAAGCAGGCTTCTAGTGGTTGTCCCCACCTTTAATATTTAACGTTTGAAGCAGTTGTTTCCCTCACTCCAAAACTTAAACAAGGCCCTGCTGTAAGCATTTAAATAGTGGGCCCATTAGGGACTTTGGATCTGCCGCTTTCATGGAAAGATGGGCATTGCAAGAAAAAGCCTTGCACCATAGCGTTGGGCATTGCAAGAAAAAGCCTTGCACCATAGCATATTTAGAAGTCTCATAATACGCGCGCGCGCGCGCGCGTGTGTGTGTGTGTTTTTGCGTGTGTGTGTGTGTGTGGGTTATATCCTTGAAACAGACTTCAGCTCCTGGTGGGTCTTCTAGGAAGAAAAGACAATAAAATCATCGCTACAAAGCCTTGTTTGGAGACACTACAATATTAATATATCAACCACAAATAGAATAAACCCTCCTCATCTCACTTAGCAAACTAGTAGCGGACATGTCAGTTGTTGCTTGAATAGTCTCACCCTGTCTCGGCCCTGCTCTCAATCAACTGAACCCAAAAAAGAATTGGGAACATCGAATTAATGGCATAAACGCACACACAAACACACAGTGTAGTCATATCTTGTTTCTTTCTTTAAAATGCACAATCTTGAGTCACTCTTTGATTCACATGAATAAATGCTGAATTAATTGGACAAACATTTGACATTATTCTAATGATTTTTCTCATAATGTACGTCTCAACATTCATGTTTTTCAACTTTTCGAGCCAATTGGAGGAGGAATCTGAATTAATTAAAACAATATCTATCTAATGTTTGGTGAGGGTAAAGGCACGAGGCTTAAATAGTTAGTAATATATCAAGCTTTTCGGTTGCTTAAACAACATGGATTATATCTATATCTATATAATATGGTATGTAGAGGTCCCACTCCATTGGTTGGTTAGGGTGTAACATCATGATTAGGTAAAAGGTAACCTTTACAAAGATTGTTTCGTACTTAATTTCATGTACAAACAAGCAATTAGGATATCATTAATCATGTTAATTAATTAAGCAGCTTTCTAATTTTATATGGTCCACTAGGGCAAGTCTTCCCCGGATATATATAAATATTTTGAGTATCAACAAATTAATTAGTTGACATAGTCTGATAAGATTATTTGAAAGTTATTAGAGTATATCCAACATTGTATCTCTCTCTCTCTCTCTCAATATATATATATTTATTTATTTATTTGTATAAATTTGATTTGTCATAATAAATTTACATATAAATTTTGGATTATTTTGTTTTATATCAGTGTCATATCTGGAACCCATATAATTTTTACAATTAATTAGTTAATGGAATGAGTGACCAGTGTATCTTAACTGCCGGAGATAATAAAAAAAAAAATTTACACATAGTGGCGGTGTATATTTTATTAGAGGAAAATAATTCTTGCACCCAATAGTTACAATGATTGTAAGAGTTATTTTTAGCACTTAATTTTATTTAGTATAAATAATTAATTAAAAATTAGTCAATTGGTGTTCAATGTAAGTTTCATTACCCTTTACACAAAAAAGTGTTTTAACTTTTAAGGTATAACCGGAGATGCTCTCAGATTTTTTTTTGGTACTAGTTAATTATATATTATACCCCATAATTAATGTGGACAAAATGGTTCGCAGACATGTCTATTACTCCTGTTATATATAAATCGCAATCACTTCGATTTTCTAAATTTGATGCTTTTGTAAGATATTTTCAGGTTTCTTTTGTCGGATCATATACATTTGATAATTTTTAATTTAATTCAAAAAATAAAAAATTATTATATAAATTGAAGATTTTTATTAAAAAACAGTTGTCAATCAAACAAATTTTTATATAATTTTTTTTATTTATTTTTAATTCTCAAAAGA